AGGGAGGGGAGGGTGTGTGTGCCCATGTACATGTGCCTATCCTGTCTGTGTGTGCCCATGTGAACTGCTCCTCTCTGTGCCTGCTGTCCGTTTCAGCAAGCAAACTGTGAATATGCAGATAGCAAAACTGTATTTAAAATTAATTCACCATCCCCTAATGCACTGAAATCCCCACCTGGACCTTTGTTGTTCTTATTTTTTTTTTCCCTCTCCTCTTTTACTGGAGTGAAATTATCAGAGGAGGAAGATCTTCCTCCCCGGCTGCCTTTAGAGTGCCTGGAGCCAGCTGCAGTGTTTGGGATCCTCCAGCTACAGTGGAACAAATGTGGTATACATTCCCCCCCAGATCCCTGTACAGATATCCAGTGTCCTTCCCCTCGAACTGCTTGCATTAGAAAAAGTAGAATATGGAGACTCGGGCATAAATGTTTACACACAGTCATATAATTACATAACATGAAACATTTTACATAGTTTGAGGTGAGCATCTCTTTATACTTTTAAACATTAGGAGTGCAAGTTTTATGTAATCATTGCTTCTTTAACACTGAAAATATTATGGATTTATTTTTTAAAAAACTTAAAAATACTGCACCACTCCATAAACAATATTTCCATTAATAAGCTTGGAAAATTAGGCTTTATGTCAACATTTGTAAAAATTAGAATCTGATGTAGGTCCCCTACAATTTTAAAATAGGTTACTTATCTGATTTACTTTGTGATGGGCTGTGGGTATTATACTTCACATTCTTTATAGGGCAGCTGCTGGCACTTGCACTGTCCATAGCCATTGATGATGATGAAGGGTCCTTCGTGGGTGGGTTCATATTCATTATAGGGTCCTTGGTCTGACATATTGGCCATATGCAGCCGTGTTTGGGATCGGAGCTGCCTGTGATTTTGAATCATTGAGCACTGCCTAATTCTTCGTAATGTGGGAGGGCAGCACTTCCTGGAGATGAACACTATAAAAATGATAAAAAAGAAAGAAAACAATAAAGCCATTGTTCCAGTAATTACCCTCTGAGTGAAGATGGCATTGTTTGGCTCCGGGAAATGTTCTTCGGTGGTAACAACCATGCCTGCCGTAGTTGGAATCTCTTTGTCTCCGGTATGGAAATGAGAAGAGCTTATTGTGTACTCAGTAGTTGGATCTGTGTACGTTGTAGCCACGGGTGTAACAACAGTGGATAAATTCCAGCAAAGCTGAAAGCCATACACTGCATCCAGAATATCCTCTCCTTGGGTGTGGTCGGGGCTGTGGCAGAGGATGGAGTGCTCCCACCGACCTTGGAAGTCACTCAACCATGTGGCCAAGGCGCAGATCTTTGGGCTGCATTCCCATAGATTGCCGGAGAGGCCCACGGTGGTGAGGGATGTCAGTGAACTTAGGATCTTGGAGTCCAGAGTGGTGAGCTTGTTGTTATCCATGAGAAGAGTTTTAAGGTTAGGCATAGTTTCAAAGACGGTTAGGTCGATGGCTTTGATTTCGTTCCCAGTTAAATCGAGCTTTGCTAAGGTGCCCCAGGTCCACTCCATCCCACACGTCAAGTTGCTAATTTTGTTCCACTGCAAGAAGAGCGTGTGCAGGCTGCTCAGCCGGAGGAAGTGAGCAAAATTAATCTTTGTCAGCTGGTTGTGCTCTAGGTGAAGCTCCCTCAGCTTGATTAATCCTGCAAATCCATTGCGAGCCAAACTTCGCAAGCGGTTTGTGCTCAAATCCAGGAATTCCAGGCTACGACAGTCCCAGAACAGGCGGACCGGGATGGTCCGCAGGGAGTTGGATCGCAAGTGCAAGGTCTGTAGCTTGCGAAGGCCGTAGAAGAGCTCGGGGTGCAGAGAGGATAACTGATTAAAAGAGAGGTCCAAATTCTGCAGGTTAAGCAGCTGGCTAAAAGTTGTGTTTGGCAAATGAAAGATTTTGTTGGAACTTAAGACTAATTCCTTAAGTTTATACAGTCCTTGAAAAGAATCTTCTCTGACTGTTGCAATTTGATTATGATCTAAGTGAAGCCAAGTAAGTTGACTGAAGCTTGCAAATTGATCCCTTTCAAGTTCAGAAATATAATTGTGCCTCAGTGACAAACCTAGCGAGCCCTTTTCAGTGGTGTTTGGCACTGAGTGAAACCCCTGAGAGTCACAGTAAAAGAGCAGCTTCTCACAGCGACATTTTGGTGGACAAGCCATGCCCAAGGCAGGCAGCATTTTTAAAACCATACTCATTGCATATAGTGCTGCCAGCATACGAGCCCCTAATGGCCACTTGAAATGTAAGCCTGCAGAATATAATTTAGGAAAACAACAAGATAGGATAGCCTTATCAGTACACTTGGAACATCACAGTGGAAGATTTCACTGCAGATAACATTGCCATGCATTTCCAATAAGCTAATTCTAAATGCAAGAAACAACTTACTACAAAAAACCGAATACTGGACATTACACTTAGGTGGAGGCTCTATCTTGGTTACAGAGCATTACAGTGGCACTACAGGAAAATATCCTTTTCACAAAAGTTCAGTGCCAAGCAATCGGCTTTAGCATGTAACTGCTGCTTTAGAGCAGAGCCCGTCATTCATTATACAGGGAACAGAGAAACGCAGGAACTTACCCATTCTTTTGAGTACATTGGAGGGTGCATTCAGTCGTAGTTTGAGACTCAACGCTGTGAGTCTGGGAAAGGCTCTAATGTGAGACAGCCTTGAATAATTGACTGGGTTTAGTGTCCTTTGATATTAGTGCAAAATCAAATCCACGATGCTGTCTTGGAATATTCCTTTTGAAATCACTGCTTTGATCTCCTCTGACAGGTCTGCAATTTTAAAATCTTAATACAAGTTTTCGTCCTCCGTGGCTGCTCGGCTGGTTAATTGAAGCTCACGTTTTCCTTTTCTGCAGCTGTGTCTTCCTTTAGTCCTAACTTGTTGATGGCAGATGGGTGGCTGATTGCTGAGAGAAGCTCCTGTAGTAGCATGAGTGCATTTACTGAAAAGCTTTTCAGGGAAGCAGTACAAGAATGGATTTGCTTATGCACTGCGACCACACAGGGCTCTATATAGGCTGACGTCACCTGGTGACGTTCCTTTTGTT